AAGGTTTCGGTCATCCCTTGAGGGTGAGTCTAGCCCTGCTCGCCAGAAAGACCCCCCCCTTCACTACAACCCATGTCTAAGCAAAAGCTTGTTGTCGAGGAGCGGGGGGAAGAAGGGAGGATCGCGGTGGACTGCAGATATTCGTTTCCATCTGGCAGATCTCCCTTTAAGACACACAGGCCATTTCAGGTCGGATTCAGGTAGATCCGCCTCTTGTATTCTTATAATCAAATTCGAAATCGGGAACCGATTTCTTGGTTAAGACTGGCTCTGATGCCAACACGGAATATGCAAGGAAAAGCTTCGCCAGAAATCCTCATTGTTCGGTAATTGTTTTTTTATTTTTTCTCCCATCATTGGACCCTGTCGTCTGCCCCTCTGGCCCCTATCCTCCACTTTTACTAGCTAGACGGCCCAACCGGGGTCACATAGGAGGGGGGGGCTGGACCCCCTCCTGCGGTTGCTGCCTGAGGTATTTTTATCGCGAAAAGGGTACAGCAATCCCTTCCCTCGTGACTTACGAAGTCGATTATGGTTTACTAACAACAAGCTTTGCAGCGCGTCGCTTTCATCCTAGACCAGGCTTGATTTAGTGAGAAAAAATCTCACTCTGCCGAGACTCGAACCCCTGACCTGGCCCTTCGCAGGCTGCGAGGTTACCCACTAGACCACCGGGGGTCCGGGGCGACCGGGGTGCACGGGGTTCGGTAATATCCTGTCAGGGTTTCCCATAAGGACTCGTACAATGTGCAATACAATTGCTTTTACTTGGGACGTGACTGCCAGCATTCTTCAGACGAGGACGCCAAGACGAGGGCGCCAACAGGCGACCGGGCCGGAACTCCTTGAATACGAATTATTTTGGCGAGCTTTTCTGACAGCAAGACGTCCCCAAAGCCACGAATTCTTCCGGTTCGGAATGCACATCGAGTCATTCCAAACCGTGCGAGGGACATGCCGTTTCCGCTTCGTGAAACTTTCACTCTCGGGTGAAACGTCCCGATCGGTTCTGCGCGACTTGTTCGACATTAGTCACTCGTCGGGCCTCATGTCTTCATGAACAGCGCAAAGCCACATAAAAATGGGTATGTGAGCAAGCACGAAGAAGGTGCATTGAGTATTGGATATAGTAAACGACAACGACAAGCAAACATCACATAATATTCCTTTCTCCTTCTTTGCCTTGCTGATAATTTCACTGAAGCGCAAACTTGAACACATCCCACAAGCTGTCGTCATTCTCTCAAGTCGTTCGACTATATGTGGGCTTTTTCGAGTACTATAACACATTGGCTGACCGCATCATCAGAAGACCTGAGCAGCCGTTCCGGAAACAAATGAAGCATTTCAGTCGAGTCTATCTGTGGTGGAGCTTGGGTTCATACCGGTACATACCTCTAGGCGGGTGTGGGAAGCGTTCCCCGTTCTTCTTTTATTTTATTTTGATCGGTCTCCTCGACGCTCTTTTTCGTTTGGTGCGGTAGCTGGTCTTTCTTTCTATCATTTTGTTTCTCTTCCGAGTGGTTTTTGTACCCTACTTTTTTCTGTTTCTTCGTGGGGTCGTGTATGCCGGGTTTTGAGACCACGGGCTCCCCATCTTTCTTTTTTAGAGCTAATGTGAGAAACAACAACAACAACAACAACAATACCTCTCAGTGAAGTTGTTGCAAGCTGTGTTCTTGTGGATGACCAATTGATGCTCGTCCAGCGCGATCACGTTGCGACTCTGATGTTCCCGCTCTCCGACCGCCTACAAGAGAACACAGCAGTAAGGTGGTATTGGTCGAAACGAAATCGAAACAAATAGTCGAGCACAACGAGCAACCAAAGCTCGTGACATGCTGTTTGCTTGATCAATGATCGATGGCCAAGCCGACCTCTCGGCAAGGTAGGGCCGCGTTTGGAATGCATCTTTTGCAGGATATGTCAACGATGAACTTTCTCCGTGCTGATGGTCGAATTTGACNCCCAAAGCTCGTGACATGCTGCTTGCCTGATCAATGATCGATGGCCAAGCCGACCTCTCGGCAAGGTAGGGCCGCGTTTGGAATGCATCTCTTGCAGGATATGTCAACAATGAACTTTCTCCGTGCTGATGGTCGAATTTGACTTTCCAGCCCTTCTCAAATCTCTAGAAGGAAGATCTCTGTCCAAACGTCGAAAGCCCCCGACAATGAATGGTATCACACCCTAATGAAGGCTCGGTGAAAACAGCGTTTCACGAAAGTTGGGTTGTACAGCAGTGGAAGGAATATAACTGTGAGAGCCAAGTTCCACAGCTATTTAGATATCAATTGTTGCAAACGTGAGCGACGTCGCTCTACACAGCGGTGAGCAAGTAGGTACGCACTCGCAACATGTACCGAGGCTTTATGCTGCGTTCTACAGAACAACAGGCTTGAATATACGTTCAGTTTTGCCGAGCCTGGATTTCCAGAACGTGTGACCCGCGCAATTAAAAAGAAGCCTCGCCACACTCTACAATCAAGTAGGCTAGTGCTGGATATACATACGTACAATAGTCAGCCAACGGTTCTCACTTTTTCCGTCCCTCTATATTCTTGGTACGTTCTCTCGCTTCTCCCGCCCCTCTCTAATGCACCGCTTGCCTGTGTTCGGATGATCTCTGGTGGAGCACCAAGGCACTGGAGGTAGCTCTCGAACGCATCCGACCTGTATCGCCGAGAAAAGGCGCACACCAGCGAAACAAAATAGGGGGATCCATAGTACAGTAATGGTCCCAAGGCTTGTAGGGGCAAGAGCAAAATATGCCACTTTTTCAGGGCGTTGCCACTGTTCGATCTATCGGGTTCATGTACATTTTGACAGTGTGACAAGAGGTTTTTATGCTACTATACCGGGCATTTCACTACTCGGGTGCCACTACTGCTTAAAGTAGGAAGATAGGGTGGATCGGATCCGGACCCCGTCTGCAAAGGGGCCGGGCGGCCAGACGTGATACCTACAGACAGATAGATGGATGCAGATGGTGGATGGGCTGGAAGAGGGTGACGTTATGTGTCACTCAAAATTTAACTATTTTTCTGCCAGAGTACATGTTTGTTTGCCGATCGCTCTGATGACGTGCATGATTTTTGGGGGCGAAACAGTTAGACTATCGAGTTTTGTCAAAGAATGACTGATTTCAATTCGGACACGCCAAATGTAGCAAATGAACTCATCCCTATAGAAATGGTAGCATCATCATCAGGAAATCTCGTTTTCATCAGGTTTAAAGGACCCCTCCTGCCGCTCTGCCAGCCAGCCCCCCTTATCTTAGCATGTTATCCCCGGTGGTGGTTACTTTGTACGTCAGCGTGCCGTGGTTGGCTGTGCTCAGGTGGCTCAAGCAACCCAAACACGTTGGCTTGTTCGAACTCGAGGGCAAATGCTACACAAACCTGCCCTGGCTGTTATACTCTGTAGACTAGTACTGCAGCATTGGAACCAGTTTCAGGATTCAATACGAGCAAGGTTCCATTCGAACCCCTTATATGCCAATTGGACGTTGCACTTTCTTGCACTTCCTCCATCCCCGGGTAGATATCGGAGGTCCTCCTTGCGAAGGCGAGTGCCATCTTCTTGTGGACGTTCCCATGGCGAAGAAGTTCGCCGACCACGACAAACAGGCTTGTGCTATTCCAAGTACGTGGATCCGATACCTTGATACTCGGAGTACAATTCATGCAGCATGAACAAGGGTCCGCGTCGCCCGGCAGGCACGTTGGACCGCCATAGGAAACCCCACCTATAGCACCGCGCTCGATCGCAAACAACACCAAGAACTATCTTACCTGGACAAGTCAAGCACCCAAGCTCCCGTGATGATGGTACATTCCGGGGAAAGCTCTTCGTTCGCATTCGCCATGGCTGCCTTGTAAGGTCCTTGAAGGACAAAAATTGATTCCTCGTGTTGAACTGAGACCACGCAACACGCACTCAACAACACTCGTAGTGCGGTCGTAGTTGTCGTCTTACGTCTTTGTCGCCCGCAGAAAGAAGAGGAGACGTTCGGAGGGCGGCGGGGTAAATAAGGAGTCATTGACGACGCAGATCTTGACAGTACCCGCGTCAGGTTCGTTCGTCATGTATATACTGGCTGTTGCACTAATAATTCGGCGTCGGGCACGTTGTGACTGATGATGGTGGTGCCGGACAGCTTGTGACATTCAGGTCCGCAACCCGCAGATTACGCAGACCAAGTATGTCCGCCTAATGAGGATGTAGACCAGGCCGCATGACGACGGGTACGTCCTTACTTCAATCGGCAGTCAGTTTGCCAATCTTCTTGGCTCGCTCGGAAAAGGCCGACAGCGATCATATCTATCTGCAGTCTCGTCCGTACGAAGTATATCACGGCGTACCTGACCGCATAGATAGATAGATAGCTGGTGGCCGTGGTGACACTCGTGGGCAATAACCAGACTTGGGGCGCGCGGTATTTCCGTCTGTGGTGGAGACCAGAGACTGGTACCCTGCTCTCGTTCCCTCTGGGTAACGCGGAACGATATCAGAACGTCGGGCGTCGAGGGGCAGTAGTACCTACTGCTGTGTGTGCATCGACCGCGACGTGGAAACTACGCTTCTAGATACTTGCCCACGGTAGAATATTCGTCGGGACGAAGCCGACCATATTGTTCCATTACCGAGGAACGCCGTCCTTTGTTGACACAGTGTTTCATTCGCCAGTAGCCCAGGTCGTGCACCCGCGATTCCATGATACAGTAGCAAGCGTTGTCTCGTTGGAGCCGTAGGAGCTTCAGATTACCTCACATGTTGGGGATGTTGTAGCACAATGGACCGGAAACAAGATGGAGAACGGAAACGGATAAGTACCTTTCTCACAAGTGGTGACGATTTCTCCTGGCATGCCGATTCTCGGATCTTGGCCCGGATCTTGTCGCGCAGCGTGATCGCGTGGGTCCTACAGTACTACTCGAACGGTACAGCAGTAGTAGTATAGCGGGTTTTCTATGCTCGTGGTTGTTGATGTTTTCCTATTAAGACTGTTCTACAGGAGGAGGCCCGCAAATGATGCATCAAACATCACCTGACACCAAGACCTCCAAACACATGACTTTCTTTGTAGAGACTGCAACAGCGCGAGATATACAGTATCCTACAAGTAAGGTTGTCGGAGACTTCACAGTTGATAGGATTGAGGCGACGTCTGCTGGGTACTCGTACGCGGGTCCAGCTATCAGTGCGAAAACCACTGGCTCTACATATTGCTGTGGCAACACCCCAAATGTATGTCTGCCGCCTGCCACAGATCTCCGACAGGTCAAATCGCCGATGGCAGGTCCAACGAACGCGCCACAACCCACGAACATCTACTGCAGTATCTACGCAGTCTACGGTGGCGCACGTCGTCTGTTTACTATCCTTGGAGAGGGTCAGCAAGCAGCGTGGCACGGAAACCTCGCGGGAAGATGGACGAGGAGTTCACTCCACCTGACTAAAGGGATCGTACAAGCTGGCGCATGGTGGTACGTTTCCCCTTGATTCTTATTCACTGACTTCCTGATGGTGGTGTGAATTGGTCGTGGAGGATGAAAGCCGTGGGTGCCTCTCGCGGTTTCAGTGTAGTCTATATGCACAAGTGGGGATGGGGCGCATGTGATTTATTTGCTCGCAACCGTCATCAGTGGTCGTGTTGGTAGCTCGGTGTGTCATGTTTCGTGGTTCTTGTACTTGTACATGCATGTACAGTACGTGAAGATGCGTCGTTTGTGGATATTCTCAACCAAACGAACGAACGAAGTAGAAGTGCAACAGTAGACTACCGCAGCCCCTCCTTATCCATACCAGCAGGAGAAGCCAGCTTCAATATATCCTGCGCTGCAGTGGTTCGCCGTCGGTAAAAACAAACTACGATTCGCTCTACATTCATTCCTGTGGGGTGGCACTTCACTATGGTCGGCAATATTGTAGCGTGGCAGCGATCAACGGCTTTGCTGCTGTCAGGAAGGGCTGCTGCCAGACGTCGGTACTGCACGTATTTACGTAACTCTTTGGCGACACGAATGGTTGGTTTTCCGGGGTCCGCAACATGCAGTTTATGTCGTGTTGTTCTCCGTTTGACGACAGTACTACTGTCTACTGTGCTGTGCATACCTAGACTATGTTTTGTCTGTTTGTTTTCTCGTGTTCGAGATCAGGCCAGCGCGCTTCTTCTCTCTCTCGGTCGCATCTCGTACTGCTGCACCCATGAAAAAGTGGCCCTGGAGTAGCGAGAGAAACAACACCCTTTTATTCTCGTCGGTCTGAGGGTGTAGCAGCACTCGGTACTAGCTGTTCGTGGGTCTGCGACGATTGGTGTTGGATACATGTGCTGGATGACTTGGTGTCACGCAGACTGGCAAGATTGCCGTTTGGTAGGGGGCACCGCGATGATTCACGGTTTGTTCTCGTCAGTCTGAGGGTGTAGCAGTACTCGGTACTAGCTGTTCGTGGGTTTGCGACGATTGGTGTTGGATACATGTGCTGGATGACTTGGGTCACGCAGACTGGCAAGATTGCCGTTTGGTAGGGGGCACCGCGATGATTCACGGGGTCCCTCCTTGATGTGGGAGCCGCTCTTCGAGCACTCCCTCTTTCGTCCGTGCGAAGGGCGGTCGTCTACCTCTCGTGAAGTTAATACATCACCAAAACAGTCTCACCCGAGAAATATGTGGCGTAGGCCGCAAACACTCTATCTACGGTTTTTGCCCCTCGAGGGAAGCCATATTGGGATGAGCTCNTGGGCAGACGGTGCCCCATCCGATGTCATGGTCGTGAGATCTGACAACGGAGAAGAGATTTTTGAGGGAGAGTTCGGCAGGTTGTGCCGGAAGTACTGCATCAAACAGGAGTTCACCCCCGCACACAGGCCAGATTACAACGGTGTAGCTGAGAGAGCACTGGGTCTGATCAAGGATGCAGCACTAGCCGCCCGTACCCAAGCGCCAACTCTTTACCCCGGAGCAACGAACTACCACTCCGTTTGGGCCGAGGCCATAGCTTGGGCATGCAACGCCCTGAACTCCACCACATCCAACCCAGAGAATAAATCGCCGTGCGAGATGGGGCACGGGCACCCTACCCCGCCGGGGGCGACCTACCCGATTCTCAAACCTGCCGTATACAAGTCGTTGCCTCCCATCGCAGAGGAGCAAGAGGAATTCGCGACTGGGGAGGACGATGTTGGGGAGGGCGCGTCGAGCCAAGGTGGAGGGAGGGCGGAGGGAGAACCTGAGGATGGAGGACCAGGTTTCAACCTTGGCACGACGGCAGCCCCGGGGCCCGCTGGGCCGCCCGCGCGCGTAGCGACGGCGGCGCCGCCGGCCGCACCCGAGGAGTCGGGCGCGGGCGACGCTGGCGATGGCGCCCCCTCGAGCAGGGAGGGCGCGAGCGTCGCCCCATCTACCACGTCGGCCGACATGGCCGATGTGGGCGGCGGCGAGGACGACCGCCGCCGCAGCAACAGCCGTGGTAGCGGCGGCAGCGACAGCGGCAGCAGCAGCAACAGCGGCAGCGGCAGCGACAGCGACAGCGACAGCGACAGCGAGACGGATCTCCCGGCGCTCCGCGGGCCAGAGGCCCGGCGGCTCGCCCGCGTCGACAAGCCGGCGGAACTCACCAGCCGCCGCACCAGGGAGAACCCTCGCCGAAACCCGAGGTAAGAGTCGCCCCCGTCGCCGACAAGTGCCGAAGCCCAGCTCGTCTCGGCGGCAAGCCTGCCCGTCAGCAGCACGGAGGAGTTCACCCGCTGGATGCTCTCGGCGGTACTTCACGTGGCGGAAGGGCTAGAGGCAAGGGCGGTGCGAGAGTTGCTGTTCGAGCGCGCGGAGGAGGCCCACGCTGCGCCCCAAGAGGCGGGAAGACTTCCTGCTGGGTACGGTGGACCTCATGCTCAACTCGCCAGACGCCTTCGAGACGGCTCTGGCGTCCCACGAGCTAAGTGAATCCCCCATTGGCAAGCGTCCGAGTGATGAAGAACCCCCCCCCATGACCGTAGCCGGCGTCGCCAAGTCTGTGTACCGAGAGGGTGGGAACAGGCCATGAGGGAAGAAATTGAAGGGCACTTGGGCACGGGGACGCTTTCATTCGTAGACGGCGCGCCAGAGGGGCGCAGGCCTGTGAGCTCAAAGTGGTGTTTTAGTTGGAAGACCAACAAGGAAGGGAAGATAGGAAAGTTCGAAGCGCGTCTGGTTGCTGGGGGGTTGTCGCAAATCCCGAACGTCGATTATTTCCATTCGTCTTCTCGTTGCCCATCATCCGCATCCATTAAACCCTTGCTTGCGGTAGCAAACGAGAAGGGCATGAATCTCAATCACTGGGATGTGAAGTGGGCGCACACACACGCCACGCTAGACGAGGAGGTTTTTCTGAGGCTCCCCGTTAGGTGCTGGGACAAATCGCATAAAATTGTTAAGGCTGAGCGTGCGATTTACGGTCTGAAGCAGAGCGGTAGGCAGTGGGGGTACCACGCTGCTGATACGCTAGTCGAGAACGGGTTCGAGCAATGCAAGGCGGACCCGTGTGTTTTCCGCAAGATGGTAGAC